CGGAGGAGACCTAACCTGTGTGATCGAATCGGTCTATGGGAGGTGATCGGCAGGAGGCGGGCTCTCAGGTACCAGGGCCGATGCCATGAAGGGCTTTTTAGGGAATGACCAGCGCCTTGAAGCGGATCCGGAGACTAATGGGTAACCAGTGCAGATCACGGAGGATAGGTGTAACATGGGTGTTCCTGGGTGCACCCACAATCGCTCGCGCGGCTGCGTTCTGGACCATCTGGAGTCTTCGAACACTCTTCAAGGGCAGCCCCATGTAGAGCGCATTACAATAATCCAGTCTTGAGGTCATAAGTTGAAGACTATCTATCTATATTTTTTTTGGGGGGGGGGTTGTTCTGAAATAGGTCCTTACCTTTATAGCTATGTTAATGGACACTTCTCTGATGTTGGAAAGTGCGGGATAAAGTCTTCCCTCTGCAAGCTCTTCCTCACTCAGCTGCTGGGACAACGTCTTTTAACACCAGAAAAGGAAGGAGGGGGAAAAAAAAATAAGGCATTTTATCCAGGAGTAGACCTCCCATCCTGGCCCTGTAGCAATAGCAGCAGCAATAGCACTTGAGACTTATATACCGCTTCACAGTGTTTTTACACCCCTCTCTAAAGCGGTTTACAGAATCAGCCTATTTTCCCCAGCAATCTGGGTCCTCATTTGACCCACCTCGGAAGGATGGAAGGCTGAGCCTGGTGAGATTTGAACTGCCAAATTGCAGGCAGGCAGCAGGCAGCAGTAGTAGTGTACTGCACTCTAACCACTGCGCCACCACAGCTCTTAACAGTTGGGGCACCCAGAATTAGGGAAGAAAGGCTTCCTTGGATCAGGCAGTGAAATCAAAGGTGCTTTTATTAAGTTGAAGAAGGAACTTAACTTTTTTATACAGAGTTTTTGTTTGAATTTGGTTTCTATTGGTGATTTATCCCGCTTGAGGTACGGTCCACCAAAAACACTCCCATCAAAACACTCCCATCAACACTGACAAGACACTTGTAACTGAAAAGAAAAACCCATTCCTTTCTAAGCATGATGATGTTACCTAGTTGGGTAATGAAATGTCTGCAAGAAAATAACCGAGCTTAAAGAGCACCAAGCCCCGCCCCTCCCTTCATTCAACCCTGAGCTTCTCTTCTATGGGTGATGTGTAAAAGTTGTTTTGGGAACATGTTTCCCTTAGAATGGATTGAAGAAAGTTAAAAGGAAGAGCCCGGCTGCAGTTGTCTTGAACAGACCTTGCACATCCTATGCAAACTTCACCCAAGAGAAGCTTCTGTTCTTTGAATACAAAGCAACGAAAGCCTCCCTTAGATTTCATAAAAATGTACTACCGTATGTTTTGGAGTATAAGACGCACTAAGGTTTTGAAGAGGCAAATTTTAAAAAAAGGTTTTGCACTCTGCAGACCTCCCCAAAACGACCCGTTTTCCCCCCAAACAAGCCATTTTTTTGCCAATAAAAGGGCATGCATAGTCTTTAGGAGGCTCATAGAGTGAAAAACAGGCCGTTTTTCGCTCATATTTTCCCCTCCCCTACCCCTCGGAGCACTCTGCAAGGCTCCTAAAAGCTCTGCACAGCCATTTTGGTGAAGGGGGGGGGGGTTCAGGAGGCAAAAAATGCTGTATTCCGTGTATAAGACGCACCCAGATTTTCAGCCTTTTTTGAGGGAAAAAGGTGCGTCTTATACTCTGAAAAATACAGTACTTATAAAGTAATAAGGGCAAGATAAAAATCTGAGTGAGTGAATGAATGAATGAATGAATGAATGAATGAATGAATGAATGAATGAATGAAAAAGATGGTGTGCTCAGTTCCCAACCAACCTGTTTCATTTACCTTTGCCGCTTCCAAAAATACATTGTCACTGATGTGTCGGACGCTACTCAGGACAACAGCAAGAGCCACACCTGCGACATACAGAGAAGGATTCTAAATGATAACAATCATTTTCATGGTTCATGCAAAGCATGCATGGAATAAAATCTTTTAGAAAACTGAGGCACAGCAAACAGGAACAGAACAACGGCACCTAAAACTAAAGAGTGTGCCCACTGGTGTCAGGCAGAGAAGAGCTAGCCTGCAGAATCAGACCCAAAGTTGCCATAATCAGGGGTGGGCTGCTGGGGGTTTGCAGGGGTTCGGGAGATCCTCTAGCTAGCATTCTGCCCAGTTTGGCGAACCCCGAAATGCCACTCCTGGCTGGCCACACCCACCCCTCCCGCCTCTCCCCTCTCAGGAGTCTCAACGCGCCCCATTCATCGTGCCAGGTAAGTGCAGGGCCTGCGTGGAGGCTTGGTGAGGGCAGGGTGGGCGTATTTTCTGCAGTAAGCACAAGAGCTTTTGAACTGCTTTCTTTTAAAATCTCATTTTAAAAAAAAGATGCCTGCAGTGCAGTTGTTGTGGAATAGAATTCAATGAAAGAGAAAGGAGAAAGGAGAGAGAGAGAGGGAGGGAGGGAAAGGAAGGAAGGAAGAAAGAAAGAAAGGAGGGAGGGAGGGAGGGGAAGGAAGGAAGGAAGAAAGAAAGAAAGAAAGAAAGAAAGAAAGAAAGAAAGAAAGA